GCTGAGCCGAAGCCGGCAGCCTCAGCTTCCTGCCGCTACTGCACCGCAGGCAGCCGCTCCCACTTGACTGGAGTCGATATGTGAGTGGAAACCTATCTGCCATCTTTGGGTTATGCCCTTACCACTGACATTTCTAGGGACCACTGTGAAAGCCCAGACTTGAGAAAACCACCACGATGAGCAGCAAGGCTGCCCTGAGCTGCAGAGGCCTGGCAGGTGAGCTTCCTTCACCCGTAAGGGACTTGGTCTCACTCTGTCCCACTGGCCTTGGGGCCCCAGTCCTGCCTCAGCAAAATAATAAACACTACACATGGGGGAGAGAGGGGATCAGGGTATTATCTTCAGTTAAATTCGTGAACACCAAGGTGTACTGGGTTGAAAAGGGCCTTTCAGAAAGGAGTGAATTCATGAAGGTCTGAATTTTCTTTCAAATTATTTGGCCTTTTTTTTGCTCTTGTTTTAATAAATACAATTTTCCTATGAAGACATAGCATTTCCTAAGAGAATGAGCACACAGTGGGAGAAAATAGATTTGCTATTCATAAGATCAGAAGTGCTGTTCATCTGGGGGAGATCATAAGAGACTATTTTTCTCCCCAGCTTCGCATTAGTCTTTTCACGCTGATATCATGAATCAGAATGAAATGTAAAACTGAGAATTAAGCAAACGCTTAGAATAAGGAGATCGTTCTGTTTATAGAAATCGCCTTTGCCTAGCAGTGGGCTATTAAAGCAGCAGACTACATTAGCAGTCAAGCACCTAAAAGTTTAGCAATCATATGATTAACAAGTTGAAAATAGCAAAGTGTAACAAGGAAAATATAGAGGGAGAAGACAGTGGCCTATATTATGGTTAATTATCAACACGGGAACCCTAAAATAAAAAACCACGGGCGTGGACTCAACAATTATAGCATCGGGGCCACCCACTGTATGTGGGGCAGCCATCGGCAAAGGCGCCACCCCTGGCTGGACTAACTCACCTCTGCCATCCTGGTTGTCCCCAAATCTGGAAGGGCAGACTGCACCGTGATTCGGGGCACCGGCTGAGAAAACAAGTGAACGGGCGGGCATAAAAAATCAAGAGGAGCAGAGCAGAGATAACCAGGGAAGGTTTTAACTGAATAGACTGGAGAGCCCGTCAGCTTCAGGAATTCTAACAGTTCTTACAGTCAGGCATGCCAAGCACTAGGAGCGTCACGCAAGGAAATGGAAGAAACAAGGAGCATAGCAAGAGGCCTACTCCACAGCTAGCAACACAAGACACACGCTAAACCAGTAATGCACATGGCAGGTTCACACATGTCAGGCTCTCTCTCCATTCACACGTGACATGCGTTAATCAAGGGCTGTGCTTGTATGTACGAACGCTACAGGACTTTACAGAGAGAGGTTATTGGGACAGGAAAGATCAAGAAAGGCTTCACGGTGCAAAAGGAGGCCCGGTGAGTGCAGACACAGGAGGAGGAGTAAGAAGCCGCTCTGGCTGGAGCCCAATTCTGGGGCGGAAGATAGAGCAGGATAGATACGTGGAGAGAGACTCTGGTATCTGAAACTAACCTAATCAGGTAACGTGGTTAGAATCATCACAGATGCCTGAGCAGAGAAAGCAGAGGATCGAGAAGACTGATCTGGCGGTGGAAGGCAAACTGACTGGAGAAATATTTAAAGACTACGGCAGGCAAATCACTGATTGCAACAGAGCAGGTGTGAGGTGGCACAAGCCTGCATAATGGGTATGGGTAACATCATGAAAAAGGACTCTGCTACTTATGGACACATCATTCAACATTAAAAAAAAAGAATAAAATAATTAGTACCAGGATAAAGAAAAGGGATATCAGAGGAAGAAGCTGGAACTGTGAGGAAGGAATCAGAAATTAATTTACTGGCTGCTAAGCTTCCAATGGCAGAAGTGACTATCTTGAAGAAACCACTTCTGCCTTTATACCCTCAAGCAACCTCTGGCTCCTTCCCAGGTCTCCCTGCTCCAGTGCAAGAGTCTGGATCTCTGGATGCACAGTTCTAAGAGGGCTCCATCCCGGCTGAACAAACACTCCTAGTCCTTTCTTACAAGAGTCGTCGAAATTGGGTGTCAGAGTTTGCTCTTGTTCAGTCCACAAGGAACAGCAGCTGCTGCTCACTGACCTACTGTCTCTGACCTACATTGCCTACAGATGCAGATTCCTTACCTTCCCGTTTCCCTTCTTCTGGCCCTAAGCACTCTAGGCCCTCCCAGGGCGTATCTGGGTGTCTGAGGTCCCTACGCTGTCAAGACAGAGTCTGCAGACACCAAGGCTGGACGGCAAAGTCTTGCTTCCTGTAGGGCAGCCCAGACTCTTAACTGAACAGAGAAGAGCCCACTTGGAACAAAATGGCTCACTTAGGGTGGTGGTGACCTGAGTTCACAGCACCAAACAACCACATTTCTGCAGAGGGCACCATAATAATCATGCCTTGGTGCTGCCTTTGGGAGAAAAGTGCTAGAAGGAATTAGTTTTGCAGAAGGTAAGGAGACTGTGAGAAGATCTGAGAAGAGGCAGAGAAGAGGTGATTAAGTAGGAACAGGTAAGAGATAAGGCTAAAGGGGTGAGAGGACCTAGGGATACGTGAAGGGAATATACACCGTACCCTGCAAATGCCGGGGAGTCACTGGGGGTTAAAGGTCGAAGAGTGAGAATCAGTTACGTTTAAGAAAGACAGTGTGAGTGGCCAACAGAACAGACTGAGGGAGAGCACCCTGGCGGCAGCAAGGCCATCGCACATGAGGGCCTCTAGCTTCTCCCTCAATTTCTTGACCAGGAAAGTCTCTCCCCTCAACTCCCGTGACACGTCACTCCTTCCCTCTCGCACAGCACCTCCGGGTTCTTCCTCCCTTTCCCTTTGCTGTCAACTCCTTGGCAATGGAGTTACTTGCAAGCAAGCAATGGTCCGTGGATGCAGGGGCCACTAGCTGTTGCTTACTTTTCCCCATATCATCTGAAGTTCCCCACAAAGGAAAAGGTGTCCAAAGCATATTTCTTAGTAAAGGCTTCTTAAGTCTGAACTCCAAAGTACTTATATTTTTCAGTTGGATCTTATTTAAAATAGATAAGATTGAGATGAACATTCCCTCTTAAAGTATAAAAACAAAAATCCCATCAACGATGAAACTATAACCACCAAGAATGAAACCTCTTCTAAGATGATATAATTCTTGCCCTCCTAAATAAAGCATAGAAACATAATTTACACTTTTCTTTATGACTCAGAGTAATTTTAAAAATTCCAGTAAATGCTTTAAAAATATTAGCTGAAATGAATTAAAGGACCAGACTGAATGTGACACCATGCTGGAATCCAGTGACCACAGGAGCTTCCTGGTGCCAGGGCTCTTGGGCCCTGACTTCATGGCTCCTGGCTACTAAGCCGAAAACCTCATGTCTACCCCTCACAAGTGTCCTGTCACCATCACTCACTCTCGATAACCACTTCTTAATCAGGCAACGTGTTTCATAAAGATGCCACCCAACCCCCACCATTCGAGTAAAGTATGAACCAGAAAACTGGATGATTAGATACATCTAAAATGGCTAAAAACAGAGTCAAAAACGAGATTAGACCAGGTCTGAGTGGGTTCTCAGTGTGAAGGCAATGCCTTGACCACACCTGCTTCTCTGTTCACGCTCTAGTGATTTCATGGTGCCTCCCTCCATGGGAAGGAGGTAGTCGTGGCTGCCGGACACCAACTCTGGACAAGTGGGAATCACAGGAATGTACTTCTCCAACAGAGCATGTTTGAAAGGCACATGCTACAAATCAGCAGTTACAAAACAGTCACGGGGTATAAAGTACAGCATAAGGAATACAGTCGATAATACTGTAATAACCAAGTATGGTGTCAGGTGGTACAAGACTTATTAGGAGGATCACTTCCTGAGTTATAAAAATGTCCAACCACTATGCTGTATACCTGGAACTCATATAATAGTGAATGTCAACTGAAATTGAAAATTTTTTAATGAAAAAAAAAAAAGGTGGTGCTGAAGAGAGTGGGGGTATAGATGTATAAGATCAGCCATGAGTTAACTTTTATTGAAGCTAGGTGGCGAGTACTTAGGGATTCACCACGGGACCTTGTCTATTTTTTCATATTTTTCCGTGATACTGCCCTACATGAAGAAGGCAACTGGGGCTGTGATTCAGTGTACACATTCAGTTCCATGAACACTTATTAGGACCCGGAGCGCATGAGGCACTGCAAGAAGTGCTGTGGACAGCACAACAATCAGAAAGACATGGGCTTTACTCTCAACAGACCGGCACTCTCGTCTGTGGGAAGGTCATATGTAAATAACTAAACTGTCACGGAACAGGATAGTCACTAGAATGGATGTTTCAAAAGCAGAAACAATATGGAGGAGGAAAGGATCATAATGGAACAGGCCGAGAATACCTTCATGAGGGTGATTTTACTCTGAGACGGGCCTTGAAGACAATGGCATCTCCCGGGGCAAGGGGACATTTCAAACATGAAGAATGGCATGACTAAGTCAGGATGGCAAAAGAGCCACTTTATGTCTGGTGTTCCCTCTACTCACATCTGTGCCCTGGGAAAAGCTACTCCATTTTCTAGGAGGTCTTGGTGGAGAGAGAAGGATCTAGACTGACGAGCACTGGGCAGAGGGAAGGAAGGTTAGGGCCTTGTGGAGGAGGCCTTGTGAGCGAGCGTATGGCTGATTTTCACAGGCAATAAAGAACTATCAAAGGTTACTGAATGAAGCCGTAATAAGAACTATGCTTACAAAAGATTAACCCTTAAATAGGGGAGATACTAAATACAGAGAAATCAATTAAAGAGTTGCTTTAATGGTTCGGTGCAGAGCTAATAAGAGCCAAAATTTGGATGGTAAAAAGAAAAGGAAATAGAAGTAAAAAATCTAGATGTATGAAGGAGGCTACTGAACATGTGGAAACAAGTGGCTGTGGAGGCAGGAGAAACAGAGTCGAATGTGATGCCCAGGACGTATGGGCGACAGGGAGAAGGGTAAAGGGTGGTATCAGCAGAAATAGGTATGTGCAGGGTTAAGGGGTACTTAGTTTTCTATATTTGGCAATGGCCTGTGATGAATTCGGCAACCTTATTAAGGGTACCAAAAATACTACAAGGTATACCGAAATCTTAAGTGTGCCATTTGTCCTTCACACATAATGGCTCAAATTTCCAAATGTGTATTGTTTGCATTTTAATGCTCTTTTACATATCCCCTGTGCAGGCAGTTGCCTCCTATTTCAGAAGCTCAAAACATTTCAGATCAGAAGCTCATTAATCCTTACGACACATCTGGTAACTATTAATAAAAATGACTGCAAAGTATTTTGCAGCTATAAATATTAAGGAGAAGTCCCATGAGGCAAGCGAATATAAGTATAATTATCTACATTTCACACCACAGAAACCAAGGCTCAGAGATATTTACCTAATGGTTAAATGCATTAGGGTTGCCCAGTGAGTTAGTGACAGAGATGGAAAAGGACTGAGTTCTCAAGCGCCAGCTGAACCTGCAATTACACTGTCTATGGAGCACTGTTAAAACAATAGATGAGTCAGTTACAGGTATCAGAACTGTTTGGAAGTATTTCAGGGGAAAGATGATGGTGACTTCTCATATCATATCATTTTTTTTAACTCTGGCTTTCATATGCCACATGAATGAAAATCGGGCAGATTAGCTCAGAATTTTATAACTAGGCATAAAAACTAATTTGGAGACCCCTTTGCCTAGAAGAATAAAGTTTTAACTCCTTGGCATGACATGAAAGACCCTCGCCTCTCCCTGAGGTTGTGGCCTTCCATCACTTGTTATGCTAATCCACTCTGAACTTCCTGAATACGCTGCTTTGCCAAAGGCTTCCTCTCACAGTCCCTTCCCCTGGGGGGTCCTGTTCCACCTGGTGAATACTTATTCATTTTTAAGTGATTTCAGCCCAAGCATGATCCAGTCTTCCTGAAATTGCAGGTAAAAATGCTCACTGCTTTCAGTGTGTCATCCCCAGACATACACAT